CCACTCATGGGACCCTAGAATTAGACCAAAGGTGTAGAATATGCCCTTCCATCATCAGGCATTGACCACCCTGGGAATTTCTGGCCATGCTGAGAAGACCTGGGCACTTTTCAAGTAGCTATGTGGTCTTAGTGACTCTTGGGAGCCCTAAAAGCAAGGCCTTTAGTTGTGTTCTAAACTCCAGGGAAACTGGAGATTTTCCCTGCATACCAAGGACTGGCTAGCATTTTCCCCCCAGAGAAGTGGCAGAATGTCCCAACGTTCCAGCCTTTGCTATTGCAACAGAAGCCGGTAAATCCCAGCTAAGTATGCATATCAAATGAAGGCTGTGGTTCTCATACCTGGCAGTGCACCAGAGGTATTTTTTTTAATTTTTATATATATGTGTAAAATATTTGTGTGTAACTTATAATGTATATATATTATACAAACACACTTGGGCTGCACTCTAGCCTATTGAAGCCTCTGCAGGAGAAGCCAGTGGACTCTCCTAATAAAGAACCTCTGCAATGCATGGAGGAGGCCTGAACCAATAGCAGGTCCAATCCTGTGGAACCAGGAAAGCTGTCCCCAGGCTAGAAGACCCTTGAAGCTCAAATGATTTCAGTCAAAAACTGGAGGCTATGTTTGGACTAAGACCATTGCCTTTGCTTTTCTTCAGTAGTCAGCCCTTGAAACTCATATACTCTAAACAGAACAAAATCCCCAAAGTGGCTCAGGAACTCCCAGGGCCTGCCTACGGCTACTCCTTGCCCCCAGAACCACCCCAGACCAGACCAGCCCCTCTGAGGCCTGTCAGCCACAGCTGGCCCAGAATCACTCTGCCCCAGGGGCCTCATAGGGAAATGAGTCTCTGAGCCTGTGGAACACCTGCAGAGTCATTCTGGACAGTTCCCGGAATAGCTGGTGCTCTCTGCACCAGCTCCTGGCCGTCTTCTGCACCCTCCCTGGAGACCTGGCAGAGTCTGGCCACTGTGGCCTTGGGGGCACTCACATCCATCTCTCTAACTCTGCATGCCCTCTCCTTCCCGACTTCCCGTGGCACTTGCTGTTTCCACCACACTGTTGGGCATTTGGTTATACTGTTCTCATGTGTGCGTTACTCTCCCCAATAAGATTATGAACTTCTTGAGGACAGGGGCAAATCATTTCAATTTCTCGAAGTCTACAACAAAATGATACTCATCAAAATCAGATGCCCTTTCCTTGACCCTGCCCACTCTGCCCCTGTGGCAAGCTTAGCGTCCATCCAGGCATCCACTCCTCCTCCTGTTACTTTAGGTGTGTCCTGGGAACTCGTGTGTCCCCTAACTCTAGTCTGCAATTCCACTCCACCAATATGGTTAGGCAGTTATTATTCACCGAGAACTGGTGTGGAAGCTGAAAGTGAATGGAACACAGCTTGCCCATTGAAGAGCTTACAGTCAGGTGGAAGGGGCAGCCACATACATGATTTCTTTTTTTTGGAGACAGAGTCTAGCTCTGTCGCCCAGGCTGGAGTGCAGTGGCACAATCTTGGCCCACTGCAACCTCCACCTCCCAGGTTCAAGCAATTCTCCTGCCTCAGCCTCCCTAGTAGCCAGGATTACATGCCTGGCTAATTTTTGTATTTTTAGCAGAGACAGGGTTACACCATGTTGGCCAGGTTGGTCTCGAACTCCTGGCCTCAGGTAATTGGCCCACCTCAGCTTCCCAAAATGCTGGGATTACAGGTATGAGCCACCACACCTAGCTTCATACATGATTTTAAGAGACTGTGCAGGATGCCATGAAGAGCCGTGCCCAGTGTGCTGTAGGATAGTAGGCACATGCCTCCTGCAGAGGGGGCCAGAGAAAGTCTCCTGGAGCTAAAGCAAAGTCCTGAGGCTGAGTGCCAGTGGGGTGTTGGGGTGTGGGGGCGTGGAACGCAGGCTGGAAGATGATGAAACACGATTCAGAAAGAGGAGAGGACATGAGGCATCAGTCAATAGTTCGTTACTGAACGTCTTGCCTGTGACAGGCCTGGATACCCCACTCTTGGCTTATAAACAAGTCCAGTGGTGAGCGCAAGGGCCAAGATGCAGGGCCATGGGCGCAGAGCCGCTGTGTAGGAGGAGACTCAAAGTGCAGTCAACATTACCCTCGGAAATCTCTGAAACTGCCAGGTCCTGAGTCTTTAGAAGCTCCCAAGACAATAATTCATTTCTGTTTCTCTTGGCTTTTTGACCCCACCTGGCCTCCCTTTGCCTGGGCAAGGAAGGACAAGGTTTATTTTTCAAAGGAAGAAGAACTAGGAATAAAGAAGAGGGTTTTCTCTCATGATTTGTCTTCAAAGCATTCATTTAAGTTAAATATGCTCCATCCTATGTGCCTGGGGTCAGGGGTAGGAACGTGAGGGGTACACAGCTCTGCAGATGCCTTGCTGAGTCTCCCTCTGTAAAGTAGTGCTGCTCAAATGGGGCCGTGCCTGCAGATCCTCCGGGCATCTTGGTCAGAGGCAGTTTCTCATTCAGTAGGTCTCAGGGAAGGCGAGAGAATTGGAATTTCTAACCAGCTGATCCCCATATAGCCCCAGTGCTGCAGGTCCAGGGGCCACAGCTGAGAACCATGAAGCAGAGGATGAATAAACTTTGTGGGAGGGACAGCATTCCAGACAGGGTGAGTAGGAAGCTGCCTGTGGCTCCTAACTGGGGGAGCAAAGTGGGAGATAAGGCTGCAGAGGTGGGGTCCCATTATGATTTGATAAGTGGTCAGGAGGAGTCATGTGTTAACAGCAGATGCCTGCAACAGACAGGGGAATATTCTTCCTGTAAGAATATAAGGTACATAAGATGTATTCTTATTTCACAGAGACACTTTACTTGTTAAACCTGGAGAAATATTCTTCACTCACTCCAGAAACACATGTTCTCACAATTCGGAAAACACAGTTCTTTTGATCTGTCTTGTTTCTCCATTTCAGATAAAGACCTGGTTACAAGAAATATGTCCTCCTTTTCTTAACAGCGCAAATCAGCGATCAGCAGCAGCTGACCCTTGGCCTCTGTGGGGTGGGAAGGAGGCTCACTGCTGGCTCCACTCCAACTGCTGCTTTCAGTGCGGGAGCACAGGCTCAGAGTGGCCAAAAGAAGCCAGAAATCCCAAGTTATTAAACATCTCAACTTTAATATATTGGGCACTAATTCAAAAATGTTTCCAACACTATGAGTGCTAAACAGTTTAAGTCTGCAAGGCAAATTCAGCCAATGAGTGTCTCTTTTATGACTGCTGGCTGAAAGGACTTGAAGTGGGGGAGGGGGGTGGTCAGACCTGCTTTTAGGTAGATTCTAACAACACAGTGTCAAGGACAGATTAGGAGGAAGGAGAGACTGGAGGCTGGAAGACCTTTTAGGAGGTTCCTGCCAGCCTGTGCTAGAGAGAAAATACAGCCAGCCTCCACATCCATGGGTTCCAGATCTGTGGATTCAATCAAATATCGATAAAAAATATTCAGGAAAGAAAAATGGATCGTTGCATCTGTACTGAACACCTACAGACTTCGTTTTCATGTCATGATTCCCTAAACGATACCGTATAACAACTATTTACATCACAGTGACGTGGTAGTAGGTATTAGGAGTATGAGTAATCTAGAGATGATTTAAATCATACAGGAGGATATCCGTAAATACTACATCATTTTATATAAGGGACTTGACTATGCATTGATTTGGGTATGGGGGATGTTCTGGAACAAATTCCCTCATGAATACCAAGGGACAACGGTATGCCTAAATCCTGAGGGTAAGCAGAACAGGGTGGGTTGAGGAGGTGAGGTTGCAGGACTTGAGGAGTGACTTGGTAGGAGCATGAGGGAGAGGAGGCTGTCTAGGATGACCCCGCAGGCTTCTAAGGTGGTAACTGATAGCTGGTGGTGACGTTCACTGGGATGATGAATATAGGAGCCAGAAGCATGTTCTAAGGGAAGGTTGTGGACAAGCAGAATTTAGGTGCCTCTGCATCAGCCACAGGAATATGGAGTCGGAATTCAGAGCAGAGGCAAAGGTTAGCTGGCTTTCTAAAACACAAATCTGGTCAGGTTACTGTCTGCTTAAAACCCTCTAATGGCTTCCAAATAGAAAGTCCAGATTCCTCCTCCTAAGGCCCTGGCAACCTGTCCCTGCCAACCTCATTGTGCCACGCCCCAACAGAAAAATCTGCTCCCCGGGCCTGCTCCACAACTCAGAGTGCCCGGAATAAGCTCTGCCTTTGTTCTTGCTAGTCCCTGTGCCCGAATGCCTTCCACCCATTCCTTTTTATGTCTGGAAAATTCCTATTACTTTCAGGCTCCAACATCTCTGCTCTGAGCCCTTCGCTGACCCTGCCCAGCAGATGCGCTCACGCCCTTCTTTGTGCTGTCCCTGAACATTTATGTGCCTGTTTCACTGCCCCATCGCTCCCTACTGAGGGGATCTGCCTGTCTGTAAATGCCTCAAGGCAGAGGCCATATCTTTTTTTTTTTTTTGAGACAGTCTTGCTCTGTCACCAGGCTGCAGGCTGGAGTGCAGTGGCACAGTCTTGGCTCACTGCAACCTCTACCTCCTCGGTTCCAGCAATTCTCCTGCCTCAGCCTCACAAGTAGCTGGGACTACAGGTGAGCACCACTACACCCAGCTAATTTTTACATTTTTAGTAGAGACAAGATTTCACCATGATGGCCAGGTTAGTCTTGATCTCCTGACCTCATGATCTGCCCACTTCAGCTTCCCAAAGTGCTGGGATTATAGGCGTGAGCGATAAGATATGGCCAGCCAGCAGAGGCCATATCTCAATTAACTTCGAATTGCTAGCTCCTGGCACATGTCTAGCATTATAGTAGATGCTCATTAAATGTCTAAAGACCCCTCCTCTGGGGGTAAACTGCAAGGCCAATCTGGAGGGAACATTTCTTACTTCCCAGTATCATATACCCCCTCTCTCCTGACAGCTAAGGAGCTGCATGAGGCCCTAGTGCTTACCTCACCTTTCTTCTTACTTTTCAGCTGGGGTATGGCCGTCAATGTGTACTCCACATCTGTGACCAGTGAAAATCTGAGTCGCCATGATATGCTTGCGTGGGTCAACGACTCCCTGCACCTCAACTACACCAAGATAGAACAGCTATGCTCAGGTAGGAGGCTGGAAATACGGGAAGTGGCCCTGCTGGAAGGAAAGAAAGGCCAGAAGGCAGAGCAGACACAGCAGGGAATATACAGCAGTCACGCGTGGCCGAATGATGGGGATGTGCCCAGAGAAATGCATCCTCAGGCGATGTTGTGTGAACATCACATAGTGTGTTTACACAAACCTGGATGGCGTAGCCTACTACACACCTCAGCTATGTGGTATACCTACTGCTCCTAGGCTAAAAACCTGGACAGCATGTTTCTGTACTAAATACTGCAAACAGTTTTAACACATGCTAAGTATTTGCACATCTAAACATATCTAAACATAGAAAAGGTACAATAAAAATATGGTGTTATAATCCTATGGGACCACCATCATATATGTGGTCCATCATTGACCACACCATTGTTAGGCAGCCCACCCATGACTGTAGCTTGTGATTAGACTAAGGCGGAGAGCTGGAGGCACTGAACTAGTCAGACTGGCTGGAGCTGAAGTCAGGAAATGTGAGCAAGGAAAGAGAAGAGCAGGAGAGGCACTGAGAAGGACTGCAGGGAGAGGAGGAGCGGGGAGCTGAGCGCCAGGACGGCAAGAGAGCCAGAGGTCTGACCTCTCCTCTCTGGGTCCAACTCTCAGCTCTTCTTCTGGTGGGCAAGTCACTATATACTGCCCTAGGCCTCGGTTTTCCCATCCATAAGATGGAGATAATGTCACCAACTAACTAGAGTTGCCGTTGGGATTGCCCTATCTACATGCAGTGTTTGGTGTGGTGCTGGTTCGTAATATGCATCAATAAATAGTCATTGCTGCTATTCTTAGAAAGCTGGGGGGATTCTGGCCATGTCTATCCTGAAAGTAGGAATGGCCCCAGCCCCAGAACAAGGAGAGAGAAGAGGAGACAGGGTTTGGGGAAGTGAGAGAGAGCAGCCCACAGGAGATCAGTGAGCCCCCTCAGCCAGCGCCCTTCTCCACAGGGGCAGCCTACTGCCAGTTCATGGACATGCTCTTCCCCGGCTGTGTGCACTTGAGGAAAGTGAAGTTTCAGGCCAAGCTAGAGCATGAATACATCCACAACTTCAAGGTGCTGCAAGCAGCTTTCAAGAAGATGGGTGTCGACAAAGTAGGTGCCTGCGCTCCGGGGGGGCCCCGAGCAGCTGTGTGACCCTGGGGAAGAAGATGGCCCACCAGCCTGGGCAACAGGGGGTGCTGGGGTCATTCCAGTGCTCCCGCCTCCCTCCACCTCCCGACTCTCCAGAAGCAATTTTTCCCCTGCTCAAGGCACAATGGAAAAGCCCACAACACTTGCCATTCCATCATGACAACATTCCTTTCCCTTCCTCCTCTCTGGACCCTGCCCATTCCCAACACTGAGTTCTGTGTGCGCTCCTGTGAAGTTCCACTTCTTTCTCTCTCTGTAGGGCCCAAGAAAGTGTCTTTGCTCACTCTCCTGCCTCGGTGGCTGCAGACCCCCAGCCCACATGCAGGCAGTAGAGCCCAGGGACGCCTCCCCTCACAGTTCTTCCACACAGTGCCTGTAGAGAAGGGATGTCTCTGGATCCGAGACCGGGGCCTGCCAGCCTACCTGTCTGCTCTGGTGCCGTGGGAGGGGGGCAGGTGGAGAAGGTGGAGGACGCTGCAGCCCAGGGGCTGGCTTTCCTGACAGCAGTGGCCCTCGGCGGAGGAAGGCAGCCCTACAGCAGCAGGTGGCTAAAGTACTCTGCTTATGTGGTCTATTTCAGATCATTCCTGTAGAGAAATTAGTGAAAGGAAAATTCCAAGATAATTTTGAGTTTATTCAGTGGTTTAAGAAATTCTTTGACGCAAACTATGATGGAAAGGATTACAACCCTCTGCTGGCGCGGCAGGGCCAGGACGTAGCGCCACCTCCTAACCCAGGTGATCAGATCTTCAACAAATCCAAGAAACTCATTGGCACAGCAGGTAACGTGCCCGAGCCGGGGGAGGGAGTGTGGGGGGCCGGGCCGGCAGGCCTCCACAGCCAGGAGTGCCCCCTGGGCCACGGCCCGGCCCTGCCAGCCTGGAGGAGACTGTTATCACGGAGTTCAGATGACGCCGCCTGCTGGCCACTTAGACCAGGGGGAGTGAAAGTAGTGGGTGAGAGAGCTCCAAAAATTGCTCTAAGAGAAGAGCCACCAGCACCAGCCATGGTGGCAGCTGGCGGTATGAGGCTGAAGGCAGGCACCTTGTTTTGTAGCATGAGCTAACTTGTTTGCCTCAGGATGATGGGGCAGCAAGGTGGCTTGGTTTCTCCATCCAGGTGCTTCCAGGCCAAGAGCCTGGTGCCAGCACACAGCCCCTTCTTGCCCCCTGCCCACTGGCTGGCCAGGAGCAGGAGTTGCCAAGCTGATCACACCTTACCCCATTCCAAAGGCCCAACAGTCCTAAGTCCTCAAAAGATGAGTCTCTAGAAACAAGGCTTTGTCTGGGTCCTGGAGGGGAAGGGAGAGAATCAGGAGGGCCTTTGAGAAACAGCAGCATTGGGAGGGGAAGGGAGAGGAGCAGCCCCAGCCCGCGTCGGACCCCGTCATAGCAGAGCCACCTCCTCCGTCTGCGCTGCTGTTCCGCCTGGGCCTGCCCCACTTGCCCGCCTGCTTGCTTTGCACTAGAAGCAGCCTGCTGTCTAGCTGTCTAGGGAGGTGCAGTTGCTAGTGAGCAAGTGGCCACGGCATGCTGGCTGTGCTGGGGAGGAGCTGGAGTCCCTGATTTTTCCACCGCTGTGCAGATACCCAGTCCCGCCCAGCAGAGGGCAACAGAGCCCATCCTGACACAGGGCCCCAGGAGGGGCAGCCACCCAGGGATGATGGCTTTGGGCTGGGGCTTCTGTTAGGCAAGACCCTGTGCCAGCTGCCTTTCCTCTAGCTGTCAGTACTAGAGGGCCCTGAACCCTTCCAGCTCCACTTCCCCAAATTCGCTGTCCCAGTTTATCTCCTCTCTCCCTCAGGCCAGCTCTCTTCTCACCCCAACACCTTACACCGTCTTTTAGTTCCCTATAGTTTCTGCTCTCCTGGCCTTGCCAAAGGGCAGCCCAGCTGCTGGAGTATCCATGTGGCCAAGGCTCGGGGCCTAGCTGTAGATGCCTATCTGGGGGTGGGGGCAGGGGGTTGAGAGTGCCTGCCTGTCGCATGGGCCTGCCCCGCAGTCCTCACACCAGGCTGTCTCCTGCCATGTGCACTGTGGGCTCACGTGGCCTCACCTGACTCTTTCTCTGGGCAGTTCCACAGAGGACATCCCCCACAGGCCCAAAAAACATGCAGACCTCCGGCCGGCTGAGCAACGTGGCCCCACCCTGCATCCTCCGGAAGAATCCTCCATCAGCCCGAAATGGTGGCCATGAGACTGATGCCCAAATTCTTGAACTCAACCAGCAGGTGAGTCGGATGGGTAAGGGTAGCTGAGAAAGCCCTGTCACCAAAGCCAGGCCCTTGGGGTGTCTGAGGGACAAGAGGAGGGCAGGCAGGGGAGCCTGAGGCGGGGACTTCTGGCTTGAACATTTCCTTGTCCCCAAGCAGCTGGTGGACTTGAAGCTGACAGTGGATGGGCTGGAGAAGGAGCGTGACTTCTACTTCAGCAAACTTCGTGACATCGAGCTCATCTGCCAGGAGCATGAAAGTGAAAACAGCCCTGTCATCTCAGGCATCATCAGCATCCTCTATGCCACGGAGGTGAGCACTCCCAGGCCCATTGGGCCCTCCCCAGTCTGGCCTGACCCTAAGACCAGAAGCGTGATGGACCAGAAAGGACTGTGGAGAACATTTACTAATGAGAGAGAGGTGAAGTCACTAGCCCAGGGCCACCTGTTAACAGGGCTCCCGGACTCTTGACCCCTTGCTCCTCAGCTACCTATAGACCTGAGAAGCCCTGCCTGGCCCACCACTTTCCCCCCCCTCCCACCCCGCAGGAAGGATTCGCACCCCCTGAGGACGATGAGATTGAAGAGCATCAACAAGAAGACCAGGACGAGTACTGAGGGCGGCCGCAGCCCTGGCTGACTGCACAGCTTCCCCGTGCCTCCCTCCCCGCTCCACCCCCACATTACAGTCCTTTCCTAACACAGTCAGCCGGGTGCTTTGTGTCAGTGCCGCAGCACTGGGAGCCAGGCGAGCGGAGCTTGGGGACATGGGGCCGGGAAGCAGGCAGAAGCCCGTCCTGGGTAGCACTGGCCCAGTTGGCGGGACCCCTGTCCACACCCACCCTATTTATTTCCGTTGTCTCTCTGCTGTGTTGCCCAACACTTCCCAGGGTGCTGCTGCCACCCGCCCCAGCCAGCCACCTGCTCCTGACAGCCAGCAGCTGTGTATTTGACAAAGTCATTGGTATATTTTTACTTACTGGATTTTCCTTGCACTTTACCTGTTCTTTTCCAGGGCTGACAGCACGGGCTCCGGGGCAGTGTGCCTTGCTTGGCTTCCCTTCCCCAAGGCTGGGGGCTGGGGCAGGACTCACCCATTCTAATTTATTTTGTCTTTTGGCTTCTCAGTAGTTGAAGGGAAGGCTGATGTCAGGAGAGGGAGAGGGGGCTGAGGAGGTAGTGCTGTAGGCTCAGGGGGGTAAGGGAGAGGGAGGGGAGCATGTGAGGGATGGAAGTGACCTCCTGGCACCAGGCTCACCCACCCAAGGCCCCCTGCCCCAGCACCGAAGCCCAGCATTGCCCAGAGGCCCCCAGCCACTGCCTCTTGCCACCTGGCTCACCACACAGACTCTGCCTGGACCCCACTGTCCGTCTGCTTCCCACCTGCCCTCCCCACCCCCTGCCCCTCGGGCACCAGCCTGCATATGTGTTCACTTTTATTTAAATAAACTTGTGTGGTAAAAGTCCATGCCATGTGTCCCTCAACTGAGCCACAGCCCAGGTCCAGGGCTTTCCACCTCCCATGCGCCCCTTTCTCCGGAGGTGATGGCTGTAGCACAGCCTCACCATCACCCTCCCACAGGCCCGGAAAACACCACCAATGCCCAACACTGATGATAGGGCTCTGAAGGCAGGCAGAGGCCCCAACCCCCCGTCCCTGGGGAGGAAATTTCTGGGCCCTTGGCCATGATGAGGGGCAGCCAGTGAAGCGGCCATAGGGCAGCGTGGTGGCCTGGCCAAGAGGTGCTTAGCTTCAGTCCCCTTTGGGCCAGGGGAACTACATGTTGTCCCCCACCTGTTGTCAAAGCTCACACACCTCACCATAGTGATTCAGCTGGGGACAGGCACTCACATGACAGAGAGAGCTGGGATGGCTACAAAGAGCAAGCAGTTCTGAGTGCTGAAGCCCAGGACAGCAACATCCAAGTGGTTCCTTCTTAGAGCTGGCTCCAGTGGGAACAGAGAGTCAGGAACCCTTCCATGCCATCTGCACAGCCCCACTCCTGGCATGTGCCTGACAAAGGGCCATACCCATGTCCTCGAAGCCCAGCAGAGACCAAGAGTGTGGAAATGAATGTGAGCATCTTGGGGTAATCTAGACCAGCCCCCCCGTTTACTGCTAAGGGGTCAGAGGCCCACATGCATGACCCACTTACTATGGTAGAAACCTGGACTAGAACTCATACCTCTTGACTTGAGGTTCAGGGCTCATCCCCACAGACCACAGAGGTGTGACCTCCAGGGTGTTCCTCCAGCCGCAGCCTAGCGCTGCTTTCCTCACCACCCTGAGTATGGCCAACATGCAGCTGTGTCTCTTCTGTGGCCCCACCCCATGGCCTCTTCCAAGACCACCACCATTTCTCTCATGACACCAGATTCAAGCCTTGAATAAGCAATTCATATCTGTTTGTTCCTCGATCACCTCCACCTCCCCTGTTGACTCCCACTCCCACCTACAGAGACACTTCTGGCCTTATTTTCTCTGTCTCTTTTTCTCCTCCAAGTTCCTTGCCTGCTTTTACTTATCTTGATGACTTTTCATTCCCTTACCTAGTTTTAAAAGGCTTTTCCCCATGATTACAGGTAGATACCAGGAAAGGTTAAGGCCATTGTTCTGCATTGCCCCATGTTCATCTTCAGCCTGAGACCTCACCCTGAAGGTAAAGTGGGTGTGGAAGGCAGAACAGTGCCTCCCCCACCCATGTCCACACAAGCTGTGAATATATGGGTTACATGGCAAAGGGGAATTAAGGCTGCAGATGGGCCGGGTATGGTAGTTCATGCCTGTAATCCCAGTACTTTGGGAGGCCAAGGAGGGAGGATCACTTGAGCCCAGGAGTTCAAGACCTTTCTGAGCAACATAGGGAAATACCGTCTCTATAAAAAATAAAATTTGAAGGGCACTGTGGCACGTGTTTGTAGTCCCAGCTACTCAGGAGGCTGAAGGAAGAGGATCGCTTGATCCCAGTTGTTGTTAAGGCTGCAGTGAGCCATGATTGCTCCACTGCACTCCAGCCTGGGCAACAGAGTAAAACCCTGTCTCAAAAAAAAAAAAAAAGTTGCAGATGGAATTCAGGTAGCTAATCTGCTGATCTTAAAATAGGGGGAGTGTCCTGGATTACCCAGGTGGGTCCAGTCAAATATTTTTTTTTTGTTTTTTTTGTTTTTGTTTTTTTTTTTTTTTTGAGACGGAGTTTCGCTCTTGTTACCCAGGCTGGAGTGCAATGGCGCGATCTCGGCTCACCGCAACCTCCGCCTCCTGGGTTCAGGCAATTCTCCTGCCTCAGCCTCCTGAGTAGCTGGGACTACAGGCACGCGCCACCATGCCCAGCTAATTTTTTGTATTTTTAGTAGAGACGGGGTTTCACCATGTTGACCAGGATGGTCTCGATCTGTTGACCTCGTGATCCACCCGCCTCGGCCTCCCAAAGTGCTGGGATTACAGGCTTGAGCCACCGCGCCCGGCCATCACAAATGTTTTTAAGAATGGAAGCAGGAGGCAGAAAGGGTCAGAGTGGGCAGGGTGTGGTGGTTCATGTCTTTAATCCCAGCATTTTGGGAAGCCAAGGGAGGAGGATCACTTGATCTCCATCTCCTGTGCTCACAGCCTAGACAACAGCAAGACCCCATCTCTACAAAAAAATAGAAAAATTAGCCAGGTATGGTGGCACATGCCTGTAGACCCAACAACTTGGGAGGCTAAGATGGAAGGTCCACTTGAGCCCTGGAGGTCGAGGCTGCAGTGAGCTATAATCGCGCCACTGAACTCCAGCCTGGGCAGCAGAGCAAGATCCTGTCTCAAACAAAATAAAATAAAAAAGGCTCTAAAGGCAGAAGGGAGCCATGAGCCAGGGAATGCAGGTGGCCTCTAGAAGCTGGGCAAGGCAAGGAAATGGATCTCCCCCAGAGCCACCAGACAGGAGCCCACTACTGCTGACACCTCAATTCTAGCCCAGAGATACCTGTGTTAGACTCCTGCCCTCCAGAACTAGAAGATAACACATTTGTGTTGCTTTAAGCCACTAAGTGTGTGGCAGTTTGTTTTAGCAGCAATAGAAACGTAGTCCAGTGGGTAAAACAGTGCTTCAGAGAGCTCACCCTTCTGCTTGCCCCCACACTAGACACCCATGTCCTCCTTGACCCAACATCTTTTGGGTCTTTAAACCCCATGGGGGGGCCTACCCAAGCCCACCTCCATGGCTAGTGTCTAAGGCTGCTGTTTAATACCGAGAGCTTAAGGATGTAAAGCCACTCCCTTCTCCTCCACCTCTTCCTGGTACCTCATACTGTTTCTTTCCTCTGAATTGGTCTCCCACACAGCCTTCAAGCTCCTTACAAGCAAGTGAGCCTATCTCCCAGCTCCACCTAGTGCAGGGCCTGACACAGAGAAGATGCTTAGGAAAGGTTGCTGGATAAGTAAATGAATGATTTCTATGTCCTACATGCCAAGTTGTAACTGGTAACTTGCCAGACTATCCCAATGAAAGAGCCCCTCTCCCACCATTCTGTGCGACTCTACCATGGGGGCAGCCCCCTCATTTGCCTCAATGGAAAGCTAGTTCTGTTTCCCTTCCAAAAACAAGGTCTCTTCTGTGATCATACATGTGACACAGGAGGGGTCAAACAAAGAGAAGATATTGTTGGTCTCCTGAGTTGATCAATGATCAGCTCAAATGATCTGAAAAATAAGTTGATTATCAGCTCATATATGGTCCTTGGCAAAAGCACTGCATCTCAGAGCTACCTGATGCAAAGCTCAGCCATGGTCAGGCCTAAAGGGGCTGGAGGACAGGTAGAAGGAGGCAGCAAGACATGCTCATCCCCCACCCCCTACTTTCCCCTACCAACACTTCACACAGCCCCATTTACCCTTCCAAAAGAGTGGATCATACCACCTTCTCACTGGTCTCCCAGGGCCTGAAGGATAAAGTCTAGATTTGGCAGGCAAGTTCCTTGGCATATGGGCTCAGATCCCTTTCCAACCTCATATGAGGCTATTGTTGCATTGCTATAAGGAAACATCTAGACTGGGTAATTTATAAGAAAAGAAGTTTAATTGGCTCGCAGTTCTGCAGGCTGTATAGGAAGCATAATGCTGGCATCTGCTTCTGGGGAAGCCTCAGAAAGCTTACAGTCATGGAGGAAGGCAAAGGGGGAGCAGGCACATCACATGGTAAAAGCAGGAGCAAGTGAGAGAGAGAGAGAGAGAGTGAGTGAGTGAGTGATAGAGGTGGTGGGGAGTGCCACACATATTTAAATGACCAGATCTCATGAGAACTGGGATCCACCATGAGGGATCCACCATCATGATCCAAACACTTCCCACCAGGTCCCACTGCCAGCACTGGGGATTACAATTCAACATGAGATTTGGGCATGGACAAAAATCCAAACTATATCACACCTCATCACCTGCAAAGTCCCACTAAGCACTGTCCCATTGAACTGCTTTCAGTTTACCACCCTCTAGGTCTTTGTTTACATGAACAGATTCACACAACCGATATGTTCTCTCCACCCACCCTAACCCTTGACCAATGAAAATCCTTTTTTTAGGTTTTTGTTTTTGTTTGAGATGGAGTTTTGCTCTTGTTGCCCAGGCTGCAGTGCAAAGATGCAATCTCGGCTCACTGCAACCTCCACCTCCTGGGTTCATGCGATTCTCCTGCCTCATCCTCCAAAGTAGCTGGGATTATAGGCATGTGCCATCACGCCCGGGGAAATTTTCTGTATTTAGTAGAGACGGGGTTTCACTATGTTGGCCAGGTTGGTCGAACTCCTGACCTCAGGTGATCCACCCACCTCGGCCTCCCAAAGTGCTGGGATTACAACTGTGAGCCACCACGCCCAGCCAACCAATGAAAATTCTTTCTCAAAACCCATCAGCTGCCATCTTCTTCGGGAAGCTAATCTCCTTCCTAAGGAATTAATTGCTCCCTCAGCTGTTCACCCTGTAGGAATTAAGACCCTCATATTTCTTACCATAATACCTCAGTATAGCAGGTAGGAATCTCATCCTCACATACAGTTGTACACGAAATAGCACATTTCCTTAATTGTGATGAGTCACTTTGATTTTATCTTCCCTCATTCTCCTCTGCTGGGATGCTTCAAGGTTCTGAAGGCTCCCAGGATACTAACACCCTCCATGTGGATGTCTGAGCAGGAACCTGTCTGCTGATGCCTCAGGTCTGGGGCTCTCCATCACTTCCCTGACACATCTGGAACTTGGGATTGACTCTTGTGGTGGGAGCCAGAGCCTGTTCTTTCCCATTGGGGAAACCCAGCCCTGGCTGTCTGAGACCCCAGACTTTTCTCAGCCTCCCATCAGAAGAACTCTCAGGCTGGGAGCAGTAGCTCAATTCCATAATCCCAGCACTTTGGGAGGCTGAGGAGGGTGGATCACTTGAGCCCAGGAGTTTGAGAGGAGCCAGGGCAACACAGCAAAACCTCGTGTCTACAAAAATACTAAAAATCAGCCGGGCATGATGGTGGGTCAGGTGATCCGTGGTGGTGGATCACCTGAGCCCTGGAAGTTGAGGCTGCAGTGAGTCGTGATGGAGCCACTGAACTCCAGCCTGGGCGACAGGGCAAGATCCTGTCTCAAAAAAAAAAAAAAAAAAGTATTCTCCATTCTCCACCTCCTACCCTAGCTCCCCAACACTCTGCCCTTTCCTCAAAAGCCCACATCCTCTTCCTTATTTGCCAATAGATTTGTATAGCCCATTAAACCCGAAGTTTAATCACTAGCAACAGTAAAGCCAGCACTTTTCTAGAAGGAAGGAAGCATTTAGTCTTCAAACTCACCCCAGAGGCGAGGAGCACTACTTCCATTCCATCAGAAAGGAAAGAAAAACGGTGGCCAGGAGCCGCGGCTCACGCCTGTAATCCCAGCACTTTGGGAGGCCGAGGCCGGCTGATCACTTGAGGTCAGGAGTTCGAGACCAGCCTAGCCAACATGGCGAAACTCAGTTAACTAAAATTACAAAAATTATCCGGGAGTGGTGGCGGGCTCCTGTAATCCCAGCTACTTGGGAGGCTGAGGCACAAGAATCGCTTGAACCTGGAGGCGGAGGTTACGGTGAGCTGAGATCGCGCTACTGCATTCCAGCCTGGGCGACGGAGCGAGACCCTGTCAATGAATCAATCAATTGATCAATAAAGGAAAGAAAAACAGAAACAGTTCTACCAAGTCGTTCAGTGCCGTGGCCTTCACATCGGCACTCAATGAGCGTTCTCAGAAGCGAATTGCCTCTCCTCTCGGCCTCCTCGCCTGGACTGGGGCTGCAGGGTGCCGCGGAAGCGTCTTTCGCGAGCGCCCGGCCCAGGAGCGCCCGGCCCAGGAGCGCCCGGCCCAGGAGCGCCCGGCCCAGGAGCGCCCGGCCCAGGAGCGCCCGGCCCAGGAGCGCCCGGCCCAGGAGAGGGACTACAAGTCCCAGGCTGCCTTGCGGCGGGCGCCAGGCGCGCCGCTCTGCGAGGAGACGTGGCAGAGCGCTGCGCGCCCGCTCGGGACCGGAAAGCCGGGGAAGTGGCAGAGGCGGGAGGGCTCCGACCCATGGCGGCCAAGACGGCGGGTGTGGGGCGCTGGGAGGTAGTGAAGAAGGGCCGTCGGCCTGGGGCCAGTGCTGGCGGCCGAGGCGGTGGCGGGGACCGCCGGGCACTCGGGGAGGCAAATGGAGTGTGGAAATACGACCTGACGCGTGAGTACCTGCCCCGCGCCGCCGCCTACCCCGGGCCTGTCCGGCAGGGTCGCAGCGAGCGGTTCCCAGAATCTGGGCGCGAGCTCGCAGGCACATCCCCTAGCGCCACCCATGCGTTGTCTCTTTGGAGCCTCACGGGAGGCAGCTCCAGGGAAGGTTGCGGTCCTCACCTCCCAGATGAGTAAACTGAGGCCCAGTGAAGTTGTACACCTTGTCCAGGGTCATATGTCAGAGGGGCTAGGATTCTGATCTTCAGACGCTCAGTTCACTGCACACCCTCCCAGCTGTCCCGGGCGCTAGCTGGCCTCTCTGGGCAGGTGTCTGAGCTGGGAAGAGGCACTCGGGATCATTATACACGGTGCCTTCTCTTTAAGTAACCAGCAGGTCTTGGAGGGAGGGACAGGAAGCCCAGCAGTGGGAGAAATGACGGCCACACACTCAACACTCACCAAGAATTGCAGGTGACACCTGGTTCTTCCACTGAGGAGCGGAGAGAGCTTGCCACTTGTTGATGATAGAGTTGTCATGTCAGAACCAAGAGGCGTTGGGGTAGGACCAAGATAGGAAAAGCCTGTCTTTCCAGACTAGTAGCCACTCACTGAAAAAGGCAAACCTCTATATCCGATCTCTCTGCTTCTTCCCACATACTCTGATTTGTCTAATAACTGCCCCATCTTTATGAAAGAGTCCACGGACTGTAATCAAAGACGCTACCCTGCCCTGCTCCTTAAGCAGTCAGAGAGGAAGGGACAGGCTCTTTGCTGCAGATGAATTAGGTGGCTGTGTGGGGAAAGGGACCACTGATAGGTGAGGCCTTGGGGACTTAAGGGTGGCTCCCCTTTCTCTACCTATCTTCACCCCAGCTCCAATCCAGACCACAAGCACCCTTTATGAGCGGGGCTTTGAAAATATCATGAAGCGGCAGAATAAGGAGCAGGTCCCACCCCCTGCTGTGGAGCCTAAGAAACCAGGGAACAAGAAGCAGCCAAAGAAGGGGGCAACTCCTCCCAACCAAAACCAGAAGCAGGGCCGCTTCCGCAGCCTGGAGGAAGCACTGAAAGCTGTGAGTGTGCCTAGACTTGAGATGCAGAAAGAATGGGGGCTTGAGATGTAGAGAAGATGAAAGTTGGGGAAGGCGGATGGGCAGCCGAGAACCTGTGGGATTTGGGACACTTAAGGGTTAAGAGGAGGAGTTCAGGAAAAGGTGGAAACCCAGGGGAACAGAATGCTGCACTTAGAATATAAAGGAAATGGAACATCTGTAGGAAAACATGGATTGGTAAGAGGAGAGCATTGAAGACCCAGAAACACCAGAGAGGAGCTAGAGAAACTGGTTATGATTCCCTTTCCTATGGAAATAGTGATCTGGTTATCATTCCCTGTCCTATGGAAATAGTGATCTTTCATTTTCTACCTTGTCCTCTGTTTTCCTCTTTTTTGAGACAGAGTCTCCCAGGCTGGAGTGCAGTGGCATGATCTCAGCTCACTGCAACCTCTGCCTCCCAGGTTCGAGTCATTCTCATGTCTCAGTCTCCTGAGTAGCTGGGATTACAGGTGTGTGCTACCACGCCAGGCTACTTTTTGTATTTTTAGTAGAGACAGGGTTTCACTATGTTGGCCAGGCTGGTCTCGAACTCCTGACCTCAGATGATCCTCCTGTCTTGGCCTCACAAAGTGCTGGTATTATAGGCATAAGCCACTGTGCCCAGCCCTCTGTTTTCCTCTTGAACATGTGGAGGGCCTGAGAGGCTAGGGCCTTGAGATCAGCATTTTCAGCTGTTCTGTTTCATACTTAAAGATGTGGGTGCAGCAGAATTGCAGCATTCCACGTTCTTATGTTTAAAAACGGAAACCCTTCTTCCCACTGCCACCTAGGTCAACCATCTTCCCACCCCTACCCCATTTCTCTACTCCCTCACTCACAGCTCGCCATGGTGGGGGGTTTGGGGGGGTTGTCCCTGGCAGCTGGATGTGACAGCCCTGCAGAAGGAACTGGACAAGAGCCAGAGCGTGTTCTCTGGAAACCCATCCATATGGTTGAAGGACCTGGCCAGCTATCTCAACTACAAACTCCAAGCTCCTCCAAGTGAACCCACGCTGAGCCAGCATACTCATGGTAAGTCTTAACTCCCTCAAGCTCAGACAAGTTCAAAGAAATTAAAAAAGGGTGGTGGGTTAGTAACAGATCCCAGTGACTCCCATTGTCCTGATTTCCATTGGTGATTTGAGCTGTTCTCAAATCATCGTGACTGTGAATGTTTCTGGGCCTCAATCTGTGATCCTCCCTCTGGGCCTCCTCAGAGAAGGATCCTAGCCTCAGTGCAGGGCCTTTGCCTCCACTCACCATTCTCAGGGAGAGCACCAGAGTTCTCAGAGCTGATGGCTGTGTGGTCTTAGCACTCACATTGAGGTCTATGGGCCTTAGATTATCCCTACAGCCTGGTGAGCCGGGAGCTGCGTGGGATCATCCGGGGGCTGCTGGCGAAGGCAGCAGGGTCTCTGGAGCTCTTTTTTGACCACTGTCTGTTCACCATGCTGCAAGAGCTGGATAAGACACCAGGTGAGAGGGGCATGTGAGGGATGACCATCTTGGGAGCTGCCTCCTTTTTTTCCTGCTTTCAGTACTGCTCAATAGTTCTTTTTCCAATAGAAAAATGTGCTAATCTTGACGCTGTTTTTGGAAAGGGAGGAGGAAGTTAGGAGTCAGTGGACCTGGGGCCCCGGGCTCACCTCTGAAAAATGGGGGATTTCAGGTTTGGGATGCCAAGTAATGTAAGCAGATGTGAGAATGTGTATCTCTCCAGGGGATTCACTGCATGGTTACCGCATATGTATCCAGGCCATCCTGCAAGACAAGCCCAAGATTGCCACTGCAAACCTAGGCAAGGTGAGCTCTCAGTGGTGGTGGGGACACCAGGAAGCTAGGACTTGGGAGCCTGGGCAGAATCTATGTTGTTGGACTCAGGTTTGGGATAGTGGAAGGCCTGTAAGCCTAGTAATAATAAGTAATACTATCAGCACCTACTGTGTATCTGCTTTGGAAACATTGGAGGCAGGTACTGCTATTGTTTCCCATTTTTATAGATGAAAAGATTGCACCACACAGGAGTTCAGTAACTTTCCTAGGGTCAGTCATCCAATAAATGGCAGATATGGGCAGAGCCCACAACCTGAATCCCTATACCACACGGCCATAGTGCTCCACCCTTGCTTGGCCTGTCTCCCTCTTCCAGTTGACATCTCCCTTCCCGCCTGGCTTTGAGGGTGTTCCTGGTATTTTGTCCTATCCCAATCTGACTTCCCCAACGGTCTCTTCAGTTCCTGGAACTGCTGAGGTCCCACCAGAGCCGACCAGCAAAGTGTCTGACCATCATGTGGGCCCTGGGTCAAGCAGGTTTTGCCAACCTCACCGAGGGACTGAAAGGTAACAGGGAAGTAGGGAAGAAAGAGGGAGGGCCTTGGAGCTGGAAAACTCCTCTTTAATGCCCCCAGTAGGTACAAGCCTGAGGCTTCCCTCCTGACCTTCACCTCTACAGTGTGGCTGGGGATCATGCTGCCTGTGCTGGGCATCAAGTCTCTGTCTCCTTTTGCCATCGCATATCTGGATCGGCTGCTTGTGTAAGTAAGGCGAGGGCAGCAAGGGGAAGGCTCAGGGTGTCACAAGTGGCTGTTAGAGCAAAACGGCAGGCTATGATCTTGGTCTCCATGGACATGAGGAAAATCAGGACCAGCTCCTCCCACCACCTTAGAATGTGATGGTGAGGAAGGAAGAAGAGGGAGCTATTAAGGGCTGGCGGATGGGGTAGAGTTTACACCCTTTTGCCTAGATGTTGGCTTAGCTGGGGTCATGGCCAAAACAGCTGGCATGGGTGGTAGTCTCCAGCGAGCCTGTTTCTTTATCCCCACAGCATGCATCCCAACCTGACCAAGGGCTTTGGCATGATCGGCCCCAAGGACTTCTTTCCACTCCTGGACTTTGCGTACATGCCTAACAACTCCCTGACACCCAGGTAGGACTGCTGTGGGGCACACCTGCTGTGCAGGGACCCCGGCACCAGAACCAGGCTACATATTCCCGTCCCTTCTTTCCCAGCCATCCTAGATCTGAGATTTGCAACCTGGAAGTTCAAGAGTGGGTTTCAAGGGAACAGTGATCCCTTGAAATTATATGGACCCTGGCCGGGCGCGGTGGCTCACGCCTGTAATCCCAGCACTTTGGGAGGCCGAGGCGGGTGGATCACGAGGTCAAGAGATCGAGACCATCCTGGTCAACATGGTGAAACCCCGTCTCTACTAAAAATACACAAAATTAGCTGGGCATGGTGGTGTGTGCCTGTAATCCCAGCTACTCAGGAGGCTGAGGCAGGAGAATTGCCTGAACCCAGGAGGCGGAGGTTGTGGTGAGCCGAGATCGCGCCATTGCACTCCAGCCTGGGTAACATGAGTGAAACTCCGTCTCAAAAAAAAAAAAAAAAAAAAAAAATTATATGGACCCTTTAGTGTGATTGGCATATGGACATCTTCTTAGGGAGAGGGTCGATGGCTTTCAACAGATTTCCAAGGGGTCTCAGTAAAAAGATTCAGAACGATTGCAATGTCCTCAGTGACTATTCCCCCAAGACAGGCACGGGCTCTGAAACAAGCAAAAGGTTCACATCACACAGATCCATTTATAGCTTAGGCCTGGCTTTCCTCCCCACCC